GTTAGGTTAGGTTAATGGGGCATCTGCGTAGAAGGTGATGCGCAGTGACGTAATGCAAATTGTCTATGATAAGGCATCGTATGAGGTCTATTGTCGATTGCGGAAAATTAAACACTCAAATATTTCAATTTTCTCAAATTATAGAACAATCTTGTGTCTGAGTCAGTGCCATGGCGTTATACTTCAAAGATTTTACATTGGTTTCTACTTGCGGACCTCGCAACACAATTGACTCACGTCACTTATGCATGTTTTTACGCAATTGTAGTTGTTGAATTGGATTGTGTTTTGCATACGCTTAAGAAATAGTTATACAGATGTCTAAATTTTATTCTAAAATATATCGAGATATTACAAAGATTCGGCTTGTCGGAAATATATATGTATACATATGCACACACTCACGTTACATTTAGACACGTCCAACCTGTGTAAATCTGGTACATCTGGAATTTATTTGGCTATCACCATAAGAAACACACGCCTGTTTTGTGCACACATGCATTGTCGGAAGTTATTTCACAGAGATTAGTGACACATCTCGGCAATTCACACGTACACGTACTTCAGACCGTAAGTGTAATGTTCCATTCGTCTGCATCTTGTATACCTCACTGAAAGGAGAACGTCCTCTCGTCTTCACTGTACGAAGCACACAATAGTGTAATATGTATCGCGGGATATAAATGTTGCTAATTATCCCGACGAACATATTTATTTGAGTACCGACTTCCGAAATCTTGAACTTAAGAAGGTGAATAACTCTTAGCTAAATTCCAAGGCAAACATTGAATCACGGAGACTGCACTGCCTCTCGAAAGAATCAATAACGACTGGCTTTTACTTCCGGGGTTGACATCGAGCTCACGTATTTGAAAGCTGATGTCCAATGGAATCGGACCACGTAATATTAGGTTTAATGTTCCCTCCGTTAGAGTTCGTGAGCTCTGCTGTCGGCCAATCGCTACGAAGAAGGGTTATTGATTTACCTGACTCTAACAGCACGCCATCAGCAGTCTGATTCGGAAAGTCTTTTTACACATGCTGCCATGTGTACTCTACATTCAATGGGTACGTACAATTACATAATTTTCGAAAACGTTCTTGATCTTTGCAATTCATATTGCATATTTAATTGGAGTTTTTCTTAATTTCCGTCACTTCAGTGTGTTTGAATTCAATTGTAACACCTTTCTTTACGTATGATGAATTCTGTCCGCGAATTCTTACGTTTGGTGCTACAACGCGCGTAGGTAACAGTAGCCCCTATCTGTTTGTTCGCCATAAATATCTTTCCGTACTCATTTTGTGCATTTGTTAGTCTTATGACTTATCTGTGCACGTATAGGCACCAGTCAAAAAATATAAACAAATTTCTTTGTACATAATTCCTTGTTGATAAAGATGGTTGTTGGTGATCGTGGCCGATTTCGAGTTTGTTCCACCTCGCGACTTTGATGCCTTCGTGTGAATTAATTACAAGTTTTGCGA